AGATTGCCAGGTTTGTACTGACCTGCAACAGGTGGTACGTGGGACAGATTACCAGGTTTGTACTGACCTACAACAGGTGGTACGTGGGACAGATTGCCAGGTTTGTACTGACCTGCAACAGGTGGTACGTGGGACAGATTACCAGGTTTGTACTGACTACAACAGGTGGTACGTGGGACAGATTACCAGGTTTGTACTGACCTACAAAAGGTGGTTTGCGGGACAGATTGCCAGGTTTGTACATAAACTCATATTCCTTCCAGTCCCCCTCTAGGCTGTCACTGCCCTCCAACACAACTTCTGGTCGACCTCCGACCCCAGTCATTCTGAAATGTATAAATGTACATGCATCTGATGTGTTCATAATAAGACCATAGTCATTCTGAAAGGTGAGAGTATGTAACAGTTTTGTCTATATTACATACTACATGTATAGATAAACAAGGTTGTACGATGGTTTGTTTTGGAAATAAGTAACTATAGAATTCCAAAAAAGTGGACATATGTTCTGGTCTTTGTACCAGTATGTTATTTTCAAAATGAAATTATTAAATTTCAAATTAATGATGTAACTTGGATATTTAACAAAAATACAGGCAGTTCCAAATTGATTTCTTCACAACTTAAGCTTTAAATGCAATTAGTTTTCAGCTTGTACAAGTGTTGAAATTTAAATACATACACACGTTGAATGGTATTAAATTCAGACAGCTTTTACAAAGTTACAACAGTATATTTGTAATGGTATTAGTTCAGATGATGTTAACACAACTTTTCAATGGTGTTCAACTCAAACAGGTGTAACATGACATTAACACAATAATTACAATGGCATAAAGTTTAGGTTTCCATGGTTACAAGTCAGACAGGTGTTAAAGTTTATGTTTCTATAGTTACAAGTCAGACAGGTGTTAAAGTTTAGGTTTCCATGGTTACAAGTCAGATAGGTGTTAAAGTTTATGTTTCCATAGTTACAAGTCAGACAGGTGTACCACAACATTAACACAATAATTGCAATGGCATAAAGTTTAGGTGATACAAAATGTTAATGTTATCATATTGGAACATATATCAAAGGCTACTAAGACTATGTGTCCATGGTTACAAGTCAGATGGTGTTAAAGTTTAGGTTTCCATGGTTACAAGTCAGATAGGTGTTAAAGTTTAGGTTTCCATAGTTACAAGTCAGACAGGTGTACCACAACATTAACACAATAATTACAATGGCATAAAGTTTAGGTGATACAAAATGTTAATGTTATCATATTGGAACATATATCAAAGGCTACTAAGACTATGTGTCCATGGTTACAAGTCAGATGGTGTTAAAGTTTAGGTTTCCATGGTAACAAGTCAAACAAGTGTGTTAAAGTTTAGGTTTCCATGGTTACAAGTCAGATTGGTGTTAAAGTTTAGGTTCCTATAGTTTCTAGTCAGGCAGGTGTTAAAGTTTAGGTTTCTATAGTAACAAGTCAGATAGGTGTTAAATTTTAGGTTTCCATGGTTACAAGTCAGATAGGTGTTAAATTTTATGTCTCTATAGTTACAAGTCAGATAGGTGTTAAAGTTTAGGTTTCTATAGTTACAAGTCAGATAGGTGTTAAAGTTTATGTTTTCATGGTTACAAGTCAGACAGGTGTTAAAGTTTATGTTTCTATATATACGTTGTATATAGTTACAAGTCAGATAGGTGTTAAAGTTTAGGTTTCTATAGTTATAAGTCAGAGAGGTGTTAAAGTTTATGTTTCCATGGTTACAAGTCAGACAGGTGTTAAAGTTTATGTTTCCATGGTTACAAGTCAGATATATGTTAAATATTAGGTTTCAATAGTTACAAGTCAGATAGGTGTTAAAGTTTATGTCTCTATAGTTACAAGTCAGATAGGTGTTAAAGTTTGTTTCTATAGTTACAAGTCAGACAGGTGTTGAAGTTTAGGTTTCCATGGTTACAAGTCAGACAGGTGTTAAAGTTTATGTCTCTATAGTTACAAGTCAGACAGGTGTTAAAGTTTATATTTCCATGGTTACAAGTCAGATAGGTGTTAAAGTTTATGTCTCTATAGTTACAAGTCAGACAGATGTTAAAGTTTATGTTTCCATGGTTACAAGTCAGATAGGTGTTAAAGTTTATATTTCCATGGTTACAAGTCAGACAGGTGTTAAAGTTTATGTTTCCATGGTTACAAGTCAGATAGGTGTTAAAGATTAGGTTGCTATAGTTACAAGTCAGACAGGTGTTAAAGTTTATATTTCCATGGTTACAAGTCAGATAGGTGTTAAAGTTTATGTCTCTATAGTTACAAGTCAGACAGATGTTAAAGTTTATGTTTCCATGGTTACAAGTCAGATAGGTGTTAAAGTTTATATTTCCATGGTTACAAGTCAGACAGGTGTTAAAGTTTATGTTTCCATGGTTACAAGTCAGATAGGTGTGAAAGTTTAGGAGACTGTGGCGTAGTGTGAGAGTTAGGTGAAGGGGAAGGTAAGAGTTGTGAGAGAACGAGAAAGTGGAGTGACAGGGGAGTAGATCTCTACTTAAACATGTGCTGGAGGTACAATTTTCACAGGAAAAGGTCATTATAGGTATACCTATTCCTTAATTAATCATGGATATAAAAATGATTTGCTAGCTAAACTTCTCTCACTGTGCCTGTGTTTCCCTGATATGTTGCAGTTACATACTATTTTGATAGGGTACACTTTGGCATCATTGACATTGGAATAAGACAAAGTGATAATGAAATTAACAAATTTCTATAACCCTCCTTGAATTCTAACATAAAATTTTAGTAATGAGAACAAAACAAAAAGATACAGAGTGATACATGGTTCATATAGACGTACCAGGACAAACTCAGCTAGGGTTTCAGCCATTTCCCAGGTCAATGTTTTAGGAAAAAAGGGCTCAAGATTTTCTGTTTTAGGGTGAGGATTTCGTTGTATAGTATGACATTAACTCATTCACCCCTGAAGACACATTTGAACTCTTCCAAATCAATGGTTGGAATAGTTCATTATGAAATTTCAGGGAGGAATGAGTTAAAATGAATCACAATATATTTGATATAATGACTTAAATTCCTATGATAAATTCATATTGTACAAAAAACACTTCAGACAAAGCTTAGAAACAGTTCTTCATAGTAATTTATATTTTTTTTTTTTTTTTCCATAGAATTTTAAGCTCGTACTTTTCGAGCCCTGACCTCAGTTCCAGCCCTTTCTATGGTCTGTATGAACCATGTGAGAAGAAGGAGAACAACAACACAAGACCTTACACCCTAAACAATCCGTAAGAGCTAGTCATCTGGAAGGGCTCAAACTTTTGGTGCGCATTCCTGAAGATGGTGGGGACACTATAGTAGGAGGAGTCAGACAGGTAGGATAAGGGAACCTGCAACGACACCACACCCATCAGGTCAAAGGTTAAACATACTGTAGTTCCTAAGTAAAAACTTGAGGTCAAATGTTATAGCAGCAGGCAGCCTAAATATGACATACACTGTATGTGGAAATTCCAAATACCGGTATACAAATATATGTAAAAATAGATTTTTGTTTTGAAGCAGAGATGTGTAGCCATAATGCATTTAGACTATAGAGCAGAGATGTGTAGTCATAATGCATTTAGACTATAAAGCAGAGATGTGTAGTCATAATGCATTTAGACTATACAAGCATCACTACTATTGGCTATAAGATGTAAATTTTAGAAATTGTGTGTTTATGTTGTAAGAGTAATTGCTATTATGTGTACTGTCCATGTTTTACACATGACGCTTAAATTTATGGGTTATGAACAATCTTCTATTTCAACAAATTTTGTGGCTTCAAAGTTATTTGGGCTATGAACTATCTTCTGTTCAGACAAATTTTGTGAGTACCGGTAACGTTGTTAGGGTAATGAACAATCTTTTCATTCAATTTTTAACATTTAATTGAGAATGCATTGAAGAAGTTGGACTCTCAGACCAAAACTGAACTAAAAAAATTAAATATGTGATTTAAGTTCTGCTGAAACGAAGCTAGTGAAAGCGTGACAACATCCATTTTACAGTGCATGTACACAGAAAATCAGTCCACTGTAGTAAAGGGGCAAAAGACACACAACAACAAAAGTAACACAAGCAGGTTATGTACTTATAAGTCATGGCTGTATCTCGAGGAACTAAACATGTACAGCAATTTTCTTGGTGTTTTGTATAATTGGTGCAAATTTTCAAACAATTTCGACAGTGAACAATTGCCACTGAAGAGCTAATAATAAAGACAGAGTGTTCACCAAGATCGCATAGCAATCTCACGGTATTACAGTGGTTTAAATATAACAGCCAATGGTAAGGATTGCACACGGAATCGGCTCGGCCCTGAACCTCTTTATATTCCTCGAGATACAGACATTGTTGGTGAGTACAGAAAGTTAGCCAGAAGGTACCTTCTGAAAAGCCCATAAGAGTTGGTGAGGTGATAGGGCTGGAGTTTGGACCTATACGTAAAGATAGCTCTAGGTAGGTACTGCTGGGCTGGCTTACTGACCACAGTATGGGGAACCTACAAACAAATCTCTCTATTAATTCTTCTGTGATTATCACAATGTATATGTTATACTGTTAGAACTACACTATATTGTCAGAATCTTAAGACCACACATAGACAGCAGCCTGTGTCTGCTTAATCTGTATTGAAAAAATATAAACTGAACTGATATCTTATACAAAGTCACTACAGTATATTATATTTGGCATCTTGTTTTTTTGGCAATATTTCATCAACAAATTTTTATAAAATAAGAATAAATGAAACTTATATTGATTTAATAAGTGTCACTTATTTAATTGAAATATATATAAAAAATATATATATATGAAATATATATAAAGTACATCTATTAAAGTCAGCAGTATCATTGTGAGCAGCAAGTGATAAGATGGGTGGGCTTAAGTTTGAGCATGGGCTTATCAGTGATAAAGAGTAGGAAGGTGATGTGTTACAGTGACATCACATATTACTGTGTGGGTTAAACCTTTATAAACAGAGAAGCTTTATTTGGGAAGATTTGAGTTGAGTTTGACAAATTAAAATTGAATGAACACAAGTGTACGTGTAAAAATGTGCTGGAATGATTCTCAATATCTCGTAAATTTACATGTGATTTATTGTAAAACAGCAGGTATGTGTGTAAATACGTTAAAAAGTAGAAGACAACATCACAGGAAATACAAGACAACAACTCAAAGGAATGTTAGGTCAACAAACACTTCACAGAGACAGACAAAAGACATTGTATTTTCTGATAATATTTAGAAACAGCTGCAGTTGAAGCACAATGATAGCACATGCTGTAGAATATTTGTACAGCTAGGCAGATTAGAGTCATATAAATGCCCATTTGGCCTCATTTTACAATCAATGTCTATATAAAGACACAATTCATAGCCATTTTACATATTATCTTGCTGTCATATTATAACATGACACTGCCCATGGGATAACATTTTCAATACTTTAACATGTATAGCCCCTCAGCCTGCAGACATCTTGAGAGAGGACATAGCTCACAGGATCAGTAATATTCTTAGGCAAATATGACAAGTCTTAGACCTATCTGTATGATTGGGTACCAATCTAATTTGTAATAATGCACTTTAATATTACTTAGGACTCTAGAAACATCTAATGTCACAGAGAGCTGTTGATAGCAATGGAGGTGATTGTACTTGGATGTAGATAGTTATTTACACCTGAAGAAGTAGTTGTCTGTACAATTAACCACAACTTCCTGTCACATGAATTAAACGTGCGTCTTACTGAAAATTAGGGGTGTCACAATACACCTCGACCATATCACGATATACCGCAATACTATTGGAATGTATTGTGATATGTGTCCCGATATAAAGAGTCACGGCAATAAGGTGTACAAGTTACAAAGGAATTGCTGTCAGAATGATATCAAACTGAACTATATATCATATGGATCACGCCAACTTCAATTTTCAGACACCTACCAAATAAATAATAAGCTTTTAAAATATATTGCGATACAGTGATATTTCATTTCTGTATTGCGATACGATACAATACGATATACTTGTGTATTATGATATACCGTTTTTTTGATAAATTGTGACAACCCTACTGTAAATACACATATTATAGTACTAATCTTATTTTTTCTCTTTGTATATTACGCTTAACTATAATTTATATAACTGAACTTTCTGTGTATTTTTTTAATGTCTATATTGTGGGGTGACAATTCAATAATGCACTAATCTCTTAAGACAGATAATTGCACTAAAATATAAACCCACTAAAATGAGTATGTGTACAGTTTTATTCAATTATATAGCCTTTGGCTGAGGTCGATACCTGGATTTATGGACCCGAGAAAAGATATATTGACCGAGGTCGATAAATCCAGGTATTGACCGAAGTTAAAGGCTACAATTGTTTTATTATTTTACAAAACAGTAATGTAAGCAATCTGAAATAAAAACACAACAAAAAAGCTTCGGAAGTGGGACGGTGCATTGTTTGGAGACACGTCATTATTCTATTTTTAGAAACACTGGGTCCTTCAACAAAAATCACACGCTCCAAGTCAATATCGGTTTTTATCGGTGGACATGTGATGCACTCCTGGCCAATCACTTGTCGGGAATAATATGAAAAATTAATAATTTTCATTATGATGTGCATTATCTTTTATTTGATTAACATTTATTACGATTATTCTGGGTTATTTCATGAGAAAAAGCTGTCATGTTACAAAATTACATCTGACAATAACATTAGTGGCAGACAGATTGCAGATGATTGGTCATATTAGTATACAAACCTCTTCAGACAGCAGCTTTTAAACTAGTTTCACTTCTACAGGAAGTTTACACAGGAAGTTCATAACTCACCCATCTGAATCATTTGGAAGTTTTACACCTTGCTTATATTTTAGTGTAAGCGACAAGCTCTTTAAAGAGTAAGAACATAGGTTGTTGTCTGCAGACACATGGAAGTGTATTATAAACCAAGTTATGTATGTCAGTTTCTCACTTAACTATTCCAAATATATGTTACAGTTAAGGTAATCTTACATTCTTACTTGCATTTAAAAAGTATGTGCATTATATACATATATAATGATACCAGTATATGCAAGTAATATATTCCTTTTTATGATTCATACCGTTACAGTGTTGAAACTCTTCTTGATTCAAATTCTATCTATGTTTACAGTTCAGATAATCTTTTATACATATATATATGTAATAGCAGTTGGAAAAAGTATATATATAATTTGCCATTACATTAACATAATTTATCAACTCAGTATATTTCTCTGAGCATGATTAGAAGTTCTTGTAGACTATAAAATACCATAATACCTAAAAAAAACTTATTAACCAGTACTGTATACGTATATTCCTTAGCATACAATTATTTTCCGCAAATTGATGTTAATTATCTGTTTGTGTATTGTGCACACAAGAAACTATGAATTCCTACGTTCTTTGTACATAACCTGTTTTTTCTTTATTTTTGTTTATATTATGCTTTTCCATTATGAATTAACTACAATGTTGACGGTTGTTTCTCTTTTCACCCTGTACCATATCAATGTATACAAGCCACCATTTTACTGCCTTATTATTGTGCTACTTAATTTAGATAATGGGTAATTCCTTATTGCAACATAGAGTGGCTATTGGCATGTTTTACCTGGTTTGTCACACAAACGAACATTCATCTTTCAAACATACAAACTTTTTACACTGGCTTCTCAAAAATCTTAGAAATATAATATTCCAAGCTCACAGACTTGTCCCTAAACTTGGTATTCTGATTCACAAAATTAATTTATATAGCATTATCTTATCACTTTTATTAATCATTGCAGGAGATGTTGAATTAAACCCTGGCCCTGAACCGTTAAGTTCTTCTGATGCTTCTATTGCCCTGAAAACTCTGGATATTTTACATCTTAATATTCGTAGTATTAGAAACAAAATAGATGATTTGTACGCATTAGTTTCCGATTATGATATTTTGTGTTTTACAGAAACACACCTGGATGCAACCGTTACCAATAACGATCTACCTTTAAGTGATCATAGTCAAATCTATAGATCTGACAGAAATGCCTTTGGGGGAGGTGTAATGATATATATATCTGATTCAATTAGGGCCCAACGACGTACAGATCTTGAACATCATAACCTGGAAGCAATTTGGGTGCAAATTGATACACCAACTCTTAATATATTACTGTGCAATATATATCGTCCACCAAATGCACCCACCAGTTTTTGGGCTAACTTTGAATGGACAATTGAAAAATCACTTGAAATCAGCGATAATATCATAATTGTAGGTGATCTCAATTGTGACCTCACCGCTGCAACATTATCAAATCCTCTTGTAACCATATGTGAATCATTCAGCTTGTTAAATCTAATTACAGATCCAACTAGAGTCACTCAAGCAACATCTACCCTTAT